GGTGCGCCTGACCCAAGCCATGGTATTTTCAATAACCTCATATGCATGCAAAAGCTGGACAGTGAATAAGGAAGACCATAGAAGAATTGATACTTTTGAGTTATGGTTTTGGAGGAGAATATTGGAAGTGCTATATTGGAAGTGTTATGGTTTTGGAAGAGAATATTGGAAGGCTTCCAAAAGGACCAAGAGATGTATGCTGGAATAAATGCAGCCAGACTGCTCCTTGGAGGCCAGGATGGCCAAACTTCATCTGTAATATTTGGGACTTATTGTCAGGAGGGACCAGTTGATGGAGAAAGGTATCATGTTTGGTAAGGTGGAGGGTCAGAGAAAAAGAGGAAGACCCCAGTGAGATGGACTGGCAAAGTGGCAGCATCAACATGTTATTGCCATGGCTCAAGCATGGCAACAATTGTGAGGTTGACCCAGGACCAGGCAGTGTTTTGTTCTGTTGCACATAGGGTTCCTATGAGTTGGTACTGACTCCATGGCACCCAACAAAAACAATAATAGCTCACCATTCAGTCAAAATACAGATAGACCTGTAAGATGAACAAGGATCCCTGGTAGCATAGGGGTTATGACTCGGACTGCTAACCACAAGGTCATCAGTTCAAAACTACCGCTGTTCTGTGGAGAAATATGAGGTTTTCTGGTCCTTTAAAGATTTACAGCCTCAGAAATCCTTTACAGGGTCATTATGAGTCAGAACTGACTCCATGGCACACAACCACCACCACCGAAAGATGAACAAGAACACTAGGAAAGTACAGACTCCTTAGAACTATCACCCACAGAAGATCCAAAGGGTAGCATTTGCCTGGGGATAAATCTTAGTAGGCAGGAAGGGACAATAATGAAGAACAAATGGAAAAGGTAACTTAGGGAGGAAGTGGGAAGTGTGGTGTTACATTGTGGAGGTTGCAGTTAATATCATAAAACAATTGTCTTTGAATTGTTTACTGGAATACCAGTTTGCTGTGTAAATGTTCATCACAAA